CTTTTTTCAAATCTGTTTCCTACAAGCTTTCTAATCTCCTCCAGCATGGTCAACATGTGCTTACCTTTATGTCCTAAAATTGCTTTGTTAAATGATTCCACAAAGTTATTGGTGTTATCACCACACTTCAATGTTGGATCAAACTTATGCCTAGCCTAATGCTCATGTGCCTCATTTTTCATAAGTCATTCATATGCTTCACCATCTTCTTCTTTTATCTTATTCATTGCTTTATTGAAGACATACTCAGAGTAAGTATTTGCAACTATGTAGAAATAAGAATGGAACCAAGCACCTGGCATATTAACCTCCATTACAGTAAGCCATGAAATTAAATTCTATTTACAAGAGTATAGTAAAAGTACTATACATGTGAATGTTTTGGCAAAGTTCTTGTAAAAATGAAAAACACAAATTCTTTTTGAAGCTTTTGGAATAGCATTTTTGAGCCCTTGTGTTATACCCTGTAAGTCCATTTTTTATTTTACCCCATGTCTATCTGAAATTATAGTATACTTAATTGGAAGCATCTTTAGTGCAACCTAAGGCCAGAGCTAAACCTTTCAAGAAAAATGACCACTCCCTGGAATGGACCCTTTAAATGACCATATGCTAAGGGAAATTGGCCGTTATTTCCATCTAATGCCATAGCAGTTAGTAGCACTCCCTGGTATGGACCCTTTAAATGGCATGCATCAATACCAATCAATGGCCTATAGTGCTCTTTAAAGGCAGTGATGGCTGAACCAAGACATATCTGACATCTTCTAAAAATAGGGTTTCTTCCAGGTCCTATTTCTTGCCACCTGATGAAGCACTGAGAATTTGGATTTCTGGCTTTAAAAACCTCCATATACTGTGGTAAGAGTTTGTATCCATCCTCATGCCTACCATCAACTATTTCCCTCATCAACTTAATTGCTCTCTAACAAGTGTACTTTGGTATGTAAGTGGTGAACTTAGACAAAACCAGTAGAGTATTTTCCTTCATCTCCTTATTGCTTCTGAAGTCTTCAAGAAAATTGCTAGCCACCCAAGATGCTCCTTCCCTCTTATGGTGCTCTTTCACAAAACAAACATGCTCCTCACATAAACTCTTTATCATCCAGGAGCGCCTATCAACAAGCACTCTTTATCAGCTCTATTTTTTATTTTCCTTAAATATGTCCAAAAATCAAAACAGGTAATTTAAATTGGGACGGATGGAGTAACTGTTTAGTTTGCACCTGTTGGGGTACTATTACATATAACAAAATGATGTGCTACCACATTGAATGTTGATGTGATGTGGTACATACATGTTGATGATACGACTTGATGAATGACCTAAACTATCAGGGACACCCCTGGCTTAGCCTCACTTGACAGGATCACCCCAGCACTCCGGTTGTCATACCGAAACGGTAATGAGCCGGGTACAAGTGGACTAGCAAAACCGGGTAGTAGCCGTAACCTGACTACTATGTACGTACACAAGGCCCACTTGATGAAAACTCGTTGGATCCCGAAGGTTTCTGGACGGGCCCACTGTAGTAGGCGCACGAAAGCCTGACCTCCCTACAGCAGTATGCACATGATGAAAAACCTAAGACATGCGTCTAGGATGAACATGATGAATGCTTGATATATTTACCTTTAGTCAACGCCAAGAATATATCAATTAAATAACATACATACTGTAGATTAATATTTCATGCAAACATACAATAAGATTCTGGGTCAAACTGGTCGATGGGGCTCGTCCTACAAATTGCCTGGAAATCTGCCCGAGAAACGGTCGACCGTGCCCTACCAGCGGTCAACCGTGGGCTATGATCTAGGTCTGGGTCACAAACGGTCCACCGTCACGGCCGGCGGTCGACCGTCACAGTGGTGACCGTCGGAATGGCCGAGGGAACGGTCCACCGTCTGTAGCGGCGGTCGACCGTCCCAAAGACAGTCCTCTGTCTTTAGCTTCGTTTTGATCCATTTTGAATACTTAACACCTTGATTCTTTTTAGAACATTAATACAAACATTGATGAATATATTCCTAGTAATTTCTAGGCCATTATATATACAAGTTTCACGTAGTGAACGTTTTGATGGCTAACCTACGAACATGCATAGATTCTACGTAGGTTGCGTACGATATTCCTATGAATATAACGACATAGATTATAACTTGATGTTCTAGAATTAGAGGGGACAACTACTCACCTCTACATGAAGGGAACGATGAAACGAGATTAATGAACGGTTGACAATGTTGAACGACGAATGGTTTCTCGTGGACACCTCCTTCTCTTCTTCCTCCTCGTCTACTTGCCGGAATCACCTCTTGGGCTGCTGTGGGCTAGCCGAACAAGAGAAGGGAAAGGGAAGGGTTGAGTGTGTGAGGGGAGTTACCAATGATGAAGGGAAATGAAGAGGAGAGGGTTGCTTATATTGATTGGGAAGTAATGAGACAATAATGGGCATTTAAGTTAAGGAAATGAGAGGGAGGTGAAGGGTGTGTGGCGTGGGAGAGCAAAAGGGAAGTCACTCCTCATAAATTCGCTCCGTTGTGTAAAATCTAACCTGAACGGTACACGCTTTCCCCCCCGAACGGGTCTGAATTAAGATCCGTTTGTGTTTCCGGAATCAGGCAGTCAAAAAGAATTTAATGACATGTTCAAATAATTTTTCTAAGAACTTTTATTTTCCCCAACTTTCGGATCCATCCCAATCATTAATTAATTAATTTACTTAATTAATGTGGAGAGACCCGTTATTAAAACATCTTTTTATATTTAAAAAAACACATTAACTTTTGAAGTCCATCTAATGAGATCAAAATCTCAATATTTATTATTAAAACAATGAGTCTCAATAATATTTATTTATTTAAAACTAGGCCGATTTGAGGGCGTTACATCATCACTATCAACTAGTCCACTTAGAATTTCAGCTTGTGAAGGAAGCACAACTTCTTCAAAAAATATATCTAGGGTAGGAATTTCAAGTTTGTTCAAACTAGGTATGTCATAAGCTTCTAAGCCTTTCAATTCCTTGCTCAACAATTTCACATTCAATTCAGTAATCTCAAACTGTTTTCTTCCTCCCTCCTCAACCTTCCTTTTCTTCCTTTTAGGTGTCCTATGATTATCAACCTCCTCTGGAGTGGTGGGAGAGTGTTGTGTAAAGGAATTTGTGATGAGGCTCTCTTCTGCATGGATATCACCCAAGATATGAAAGGTATTAGGTGCAGGTGGAGTAAGACTAGGTAAGTCTTTAGCTTCAATGAAAGAGGGTTGGGTTTGCACTTCATCTCTCATACTTTTGTTTTGCCTTCTCACAATTAACTTGGCTTTACTATAACTCCTTAGTTGACTTTCAAGAATGTAACCACATTCTGTTGGAGTTACAAGTAGATTATCAGCCCATTCCTCAATTTCAGTCATACAGGCCTCATTATACTTTTGGATACTGGAATCACGACCCTATGCCATTTTTTTGTAGTGCACTAGGCTCCTGCAACTCAATCACAAATAAGGGGATGTAAGTACAACAAACCCCACCCCATTCAGCAACCATTCTATTCCAATCTGAATCAAACATTAGTGGCTCCCTCTGAATTTCTTTGCCTGGTAAATGATATCTAAATCCAATTAACCTAGGGAGACTTATATTCTGCTCTTTAGCTCTAGAAATTACATCAGCATACAAATCCTTGGTGAAGTACATATCCAAATCAATGTCTTCTATGTGAATCCATTTATCTTTGACATATACTCTCAATCCAGTAGGAGGATGAAATTTAAAAAATTGAAGAGTAAAATAAGCAATAGTATACACCCAATATTCATAACAAAACAAAACATTAAACTGGCGTAAATCTTGGTATTCCTTAAAATTCGTACTCAGTTTCATGTCCAGTAAAATCGCATAATATAAACAAATTCAAACTATCAAAAGCTCAGTTTCATGTCCAGTAAAATCGAGTAAGAAGAAGATGACGAAGAGAATTGACTTTATAAATTCCAATGGTTCAGGCTTTAAATACCATTGATTGCAGCTCTTCGATTTTTCCTTTTCCGGAAGTTGATGGAGGAAGACTATAAAGTCAGATAAAGTCAGACGCACGTTGTATACCTTTATTTGGGAAAAATGGGTATAACAGACATTTCGCAGCCATTAACGGTGGGTTTGACAGAATGTATCTCCCCAATTAATTACTGGATAACTAAAGGGACCCTGCAATACATTATCCAAAATAGAAGGTACCTGTTAGTAATTTTTTCTCACACATATCACTAGATATCTAAAACTAGAGGTATATTAGAGTCATCTATGTGTTATTTAGGTGTTCCATATATTGGTGATGTAACATGGCAAATTTAGTACATATTTCACTAATTTAGTCCTTATTTAAAAAATGTTGTTTTGTTTTACGTAGTAATAAATGTCATTGTATGTTTTTTGTTTCTTTGTAAGACTTGTTAATTGATAGTGGTGCATCCACCACATGACTGGTAATCAATTTGTCTTGGTTGTCCAATATTGAACCAATCTGAACTAGTGAATTCCGATAAGAATAATCCAAAACAAGAACTCAAAATCATTTTTTTCAAATTAAAATTGATATGTTTTAATTTCCAAAATAAAACTATTGCATTGTAAAATTATATATAGACATTTGAAAGTATTCTTTGATACGAAGGATAAGTTAACCTTATTAGCATTATAGGTCATATTTTAGTTTTTTCTCTATGTTCTACTCATATTTTAGTCTTTCACCCAATTTCGATTAGTCCCATTTTTTTAGAAAATCAGAAAGCCAGAATTGAAACGCAAAGAATTGATCTTCGGCACAAAAAACAAACTCAATCACTATTTTACTTAAGTGGAACATAACTATTTCAATCTACCATTGGTTTCATTCAATTCGGAATTGTGGATAGTGAGATATGCCATTCAGAATATCTTCATATTCGGACAAAACTTGTACTCCGAACATATATTGTTTTTACTTTGAAACAAATATTAGGAAAATATTAATTCCAATTTATAAATACAAGGTATATGTCCCGAGTAGAATTAGGTCATGTTCACGGTCATGTTCACTTTACCTGATCTGAATAGTTCTGATTTGATTGGAATAAATTCTAGGTTCGGAAGAAGAAATTCAATACCCAAATTATATATTTACAAAACCAAAATCATTGCGGTATTTCCAGGTCCGGCCTGTGATCAAGGGCCTGAATCGTAGCTTCATCTTGGAGTGCATCAGGATAAGTACTCAATATCTTTGCCTTCATGCTCCTAAACATATTCATTTCGCGACTATACATTATAAACTAATGAGGCATCCACATGTAGCTATATATTAGGTTATTTGTTGGGAAAATGTACCTCAACTTCTGAAATATGTAATCAAGGTCCGCTTTCATGGTTTTAAAGAGGCGCGTATTTCTCGAGAAATCAGCAGACACCTCAGCAAAACAATGCTCTGAATAATCATTGAAATGAGAAAGAACTGCATTGCTGTCCTGCAACCTTCCTAATCTGCATTTAACAGCCAAACTTTTAAGAATAAGGGTTATTCAAGGAAAATTTAAAAAGAAAATGGAAAGATGATTATTTTGAACTTTTTCAAATAAAGGTGGGCTTTATTGCTCGAAAAATGCTATTAAGTCATCAAAGAGTGTTGATTAACATGACTTTAAAGATGATTAATTTATGAGGACTGTTACAATGATTTTACAGAGAGCCTAAGACCCTAAGGGCATTTGCAAAACACAATGTTGATAAAATCAGGATTAATATATGCCCATACTTTTATGACTTCTACATATTTCAACAAAGAGCAGAGATGTTGAGAGAGTATATCAATGTTTTTGAAGAATACGCTCAATTTCAAGATCTTTCTGCCACAACACAATTTAGCTAGTTGGCATACCATTCCACACAAGTGTACTTGACCACATATGACAACAGCAGGCTTGACAGCCTGAGAAATGCCATCTCGTGTGCATAAATATACTTATATAACAACCATGAACAAGTTACTCTCTAATTTATGTTTGGTTGGAGGGAGGGGAGCCTGAGCGTGAGGGTTTTTAATGAACCTAGTTTGGTTCAAGTGAGGAGGGGAAGAAAGGGGGAAGTTAATCACGAATTGATTTTTTTTTTATATTTTGACTTAATTTAAGTTAAAAAATTAAAAATGTATCCCCAAAAAGTAATGCAATTGTGTATGTTGAAGAGTAAGGCTTTGTTTGGAAAGGGGGGAAATGACTTCTAGAAGTCATTTTCCTCATTTTCTAGTGTTTGGCAAGAAAGGAAAATGAAAGTCAAAGCATCCGTCAACGCAAAATGAATGCTAAAATCCTGATTTTGTCTTCCCCTTTTCATATCTGGAAGACATTTTCCTGAACACTGCATCCATTTCTTCTTCTTTCCTATGTGGTCTCATCGCCATCTTCTCCATTGCATCCCATGTGTGGCCGCATGACCATCTTCTCCATTACATCCATCTCTCCTCTCTCCACTGTGAGGTGTTCTTCATCACCTTCTTCTTTCATATTTAAGCCCTCTCTCCATCGGAAAGGGAGCTTCATAGTGAACCAGAAAATAGAGATGGGGCAATCGAATGAGGAAAAAGAGAGAAGAAGAACTTAACCTGTTGGACTGGGAAAAACTTTGCATGGAAAGAGAGCCTGAATTTAAAAATTTATAGACAAAAAGAAGTTTACTTTATTCACTTTCTTTGTGTTCAAATTCCATGTTCATGTGGATTAAAGAAGACAGCATGATGGATTGATAGAAGAAAATAGAGAGGGAGCTTCATAGTGACGAGCAGGTGTTTTGTTGAAGTGCCTGAACTAGCAAAGAAGCCCTCTTATGCTATTCATTTTTGTATTTAGTTTTCAGAAAATGAACCAAACAAAAATAGCAAATTTCAGATTTCAAGCCAAACACCAGAAATGGAGAATGAGTAAAGAAAATTCCAGATGTTATCTTCCTAGTTCCCAAACGGACCGTAAATATTTTAACATATACACTTGGGTATGTGTGTGTGGGTGTTTGTGTGTCTAAACATGAACAATAACCCATTAAATCCCACAAAAAAGTGGGAAAGGGGAGGGGAGGGTGTATGCACGCAGACCTTCTCCTTACTTGAAAGTAAAGAGTCTGTTCCCAAGAGACACCCAACTCAAGCATAGAAGCACAGGGACTATGTACGCACAGTAGCACGAGCAAAGTAATAGCACAAAGACCAGAAGCACAAATACTGATACAAACAAGTAGATCCAAAACACAGAAATCATACATGCACAAGCTATAGACTAATAGTTGCATAAACTACAAGATAATGCTCAAAGATTACCCTCAATCCTAGTTTGCAAGGGTTCCCCTGGCCTCTAATTAAACACACCCTAAAGGTCTGAGATTGATACACAGATTCCGCCATTGGAGATCTCATGAACCCTAATTCTTAAGTACTTGAGTAATTAAGAACAATGCATAAATGCAGACTAATGAAACCTTGATTGATGAATGCTCCGTATTAATTAACGTTATGAAAAACAATTCATGGGTACAATTGTTAGTAAATTTCAAAACGCAGAAGAAACGGGGGAAGAAGTAATGTACATGAGGAGTTGCAACTGTTTGAGAGAATCCAAATCGTGGGAATCGATTAGGGTTTTGACCTCTCTTGATATCTCTTCAGAAGCCGCTTTAGTTTGTCCTTTCTCAAATTCCTCCATCACATTCCTGACGAACGTTGGTGTTCTGAATCCCAATGAACAATCAAAGGATATGTGAGACTGACGAGTGACGACTATGGTCTATGGAGGAGAGGGAGTAACTAGTCCTGGACACTGTCCTGTTCTGTAGGTTCTGGGTAAAATTTTTTATTTTTTGAAATTATTTTATTTACAAATTGGTATATCAATAAGATATAAAATTACATATTAAAAAACTACGTCAAAAGTTCTACCAAACAAGAGGTGACAAGAATATTTTATTTTATCAAATACTTAATGAAATCGCGTAAACAGACAAAAGTTATCGAGAGGAGAAAAAAAAATGTAATTTATTTAGAGACGGAAGGAGTATTTTTTTACGGAGTATTTTTTTATTTTGAAAAAAAACTACAAAGTATTAATTATTTTACAAATCATTGAAATCACCATTCTAAAGTACCTACCTAAAATAACATATAAAGTAAATTCTATAATTAGTCTTTTATAATAAGGGAGTTTCTCTATTTAGTCCTCAATTATCAAATATTACCCCAGTGGTCCTTCTTTTATAGGTATCTTTCCACAAATAGTCCTTTTTTGATCTTCTATCATGTTGGTGTTAATTTGAGGGCTAAAAGTGTAATTTAATAATGATAATATATCTTTTTTGTCATATACAATTCTAAAGGCTGTTTCGTTTGCGTCGTTTGTGAATTACAGCCGCTTTATACTACAAACATAGTCTACAAATGTGGTCTTTCGTTGGAATCATAGTCCACAATCGTAGTCATTATTTTTGTGTTATCCGCTAAACCAATATCAGAACACGTCACTAGACATAATGTTGATGTCAAATTATATATTTAGCCTTCAAATTAACACTAACATGATAGAAGATCAAAAAAAGAACCATTTATGGAAAGATACCTATAAATGAAGGACCACTGAGGTAATATTTGATAATTGAGGACTAAATAGGGAAACCCATATGTTATAAAGGACCAATTATGGAATTTACTCTAACATAAAAGACAATGATTAATGGCCCGTTTGGTAATAATTTTTTTACTAGCGTTAGAGATAAAATCTTAATAGTGTAGATTAACTCTGAAAATGCTGACGCTACATGCTGGTCATAGATAGGGTCCGTTTGGGATTAGCTTTTTATTAATAAACTAGCTTTGATTTTAGGTGTTTGTAGCATAAAATGTGATCCTTCCCTATTCTTCCGTAGCGCTAAACGCAAGACGCTCTGGCTCCCCAGCGTTCTAGCATAAAATGTAGCGCATATCAAAGTTATAATAGGTTCGATAAGTGCATCAATACATTTATTATTTAATGGCACAACTTTATCAGTAAAGAGATCTCCGGCGCGGTAGAGGAAGGAAAACCGCCGCTTGCTGCTAGAGTAGGTGTAGATTAGACGGAGTGGGCAGGATTAGGCCCGTTTGGGTATAATGTAGAATAGCTGGGTTGATTTCAATTTTTTAGAAAAATGCATTTCTATCCGATTTGTATTTTTAATGGTCTCTCTTTTCCTTTTAATTGATGTAACATCAAGGTTCCCATGACATTAGGAACCAATGTCATAGGCCCGGGAGGGTTCCGGTGTCCCGTTCGTAAAATTGACGGTTCCTACTAATGGTAATTTTCCCAGGCCCAATCTTGTTTTATAGAAACGGGTCAGAACGATATGGGACACGACATTGTCCTAAGTTGTCCCTTTCATTTTGGACCAAGACAATTCAGAACAATTTGGAATGTTTTTATTCGAACTTTTTTAAAAACGTAAACATAAAAATTATAGTCTCTAATATGTTAGCCCTAAAAAGCTTTAATAAAATTTTATGCAAACATTTTTAATAAATTCTAAAATAGAAGTTCAATAAAAACATATACAAATAATTCAAAAAATCTTTTGTTCACAAATCTTATGAAATTGAATTAAAGAAGTAATGTAAATGAATATTTCAATAGAGGCAAATTCTTCCTTGGACCGAATGTCCATGCTAATTTTATAGACTGTAGTGCATTTATAGCATAAAAGAAGTAGATTTTTTTTATAAAAATTCCACATGTAAGCCCATTAAAATCTGATAAGATCCATATTTTAAATGTGAACTTTGGGACCATGTAAACATCACTCTTCAATAGAAACATAAATATACGGGACAACGAGACGAAACAAGATATTTTTATTTGTCCTGGTCCCGTTTTATTTTAAAAGAGATCACCTTAAATAAGAGTAAATCATAGTGAAAGTACCAAAATAGAAGTTGCATGTTTTTATTTTCTAAATACGAGTTCACACTATGGTAATATAATACTATACATTAGTATTTTATTATACATTTTGGTATGGGTGACCCGAAAGGTGTGCAAAGTGCCCAATCGCATAGGGTCACTAAAATTTTAGGGCATCATATTTTTAAATTCAGCATTAATTTTAAAGTATAAATATTCTAAAAAAATAAAATAGGGCCAAAAACGTAAATTTTGGACTAGACCAATTTTATTTTTTCATTTTTCAGGGCCGGCCGACCGGCCCTACTTTTTGGTAATGTACATGATCATGATTGGTATTATAAATGCATTTTAACTTCTATTTCAGAAATAAAATATATGGAATTCCTATTTTCCTATATTGTTAATATTTTACACTTACCAAAATAGGAGGAAAACATTGATTAAATCTTAAAATAATAGTTGAAATATAAAATCTCCAAAATAGAAGTTAATGGCCTTTACCTTAAAATCAACACAAGAATATTGGCTACTGAACCCAATGCGCTAGAGTGCTTCTTTGGTGCACCTTGGGTACATATCATTTATATGGATCTTCTCACATAAAAAATCTTTATTTTATTTTTTTAATAAAAAAACAAATGGTTATTTATATAATAAAAAAATGCTTATTTTACTCATATGTAAGTCTACGATGAACCTTAGGTTTATCATAGAATTTGTCATTTAGAAAAATTTTCTTATTTTAAATTGATTCGAGTTAAAACTCTGTTCTAAAAGAAACCAACACATTATAAAAAGAGTAAATTTTATAATTGGCCCTTTATAACAAGGTGATTTCCCTATTTAGTTTTCTATTATCAAATATTACCTCAGTGGTCCTTCTTTTATGGGTATCTTTTCACAAATAGTTCTTTTTGGATCTTCTATCATGTTAGTGTTAATTTAAGGGTTAAAATTGTAATTTCACAATGATAATATATCTTTTTTTTTCATACAAAATTCCAAAGGTTGTTCTGCTTACGTCATTTGTGAACTACAGTCGCTTTCAACTACAAATGTGGTCTTTCATCGGAATCCTAGCCCATAATCATAGTCATTATTTTTGTTTTATCCACTTAACCAACAATCATAGTCAGCTGATTCTTGCCCACCCATTTGGTTATTTTTGCCACCATGGCTCGCCCTACAGACGTTGAGATTCGGACTTCAGAGGCCTCGCTGCTGCCCAAATCTCAAATCAGGGGTACCCTGCCTCGCTGACTCGCCGGCCGGCGATCGCTGCCATCCAGGTTCCGACTTCGCAAATTGATTCCCATTAGTTTCCGGAGTAATTCATATTCGAGAAGGACATTTCACCGTTCTTTCTTCGGTACCCAGGTTTTTCTAGTTATAGCCTCCATTCTGGTTTTCGCTGCTTCGCTTCCATCTTCGTCAACTACCTTAGAACAGAAATCATGTATCATTTCTATTATCTTGACATAAAACACAGTTAGTGGATGTTTTTATCATTAGTGCTCCTGTATATTCTAAGATCTATGCTCAAAATTCTAAATCCGAAACATCACCTTACAGTGTACTTTCACGGTTCCGATAATTAATTTCTTTTTTTTCTTCTTTCAAATTCTGGAACATCTTTTTGTCATTTGAACCTGTGAAGTTGGGTTTTTGTAAATTGAAATATTTGTACTAATTTTAACTTTTACTATTATCTACACCCCATTGCACACTCTGTATTGACCGTATATAAATGTGCATTTTAACAAATTCTTTTATTGCTTACGTAAAAGAATGTTATGTGGAGATGCTGGATTTTTGGTTTGAGAAAAATTATCATTCTTAGTTCAATTAATATAGCGGGAGAACGGTATTCACGCCTTTATTGTTTGTGCCGGTAACATTTCAAAAAGCTTGAGTTTTGTTGTTGTGAAAAATAGCTATAATCATTTCTATACTTAGCCATTTACATTGCACTGCACAAAAACCCTATATTTCATTGAAAACAACATAGGATCATAGGACATAACTAAAACAAATTATAAAAAGTTAGCAGTTACACACTTTTATATTAAGAAATGAAAATCGAACTGCAGTATTATACGGAGTAATGAATAAGATAGATCTATATGTTAGAAAGGATACTGTGATAACATGTTTTAAAACATTAAAATAAACAAATGTGTGGTCTGCTTGTCTTAAGTTTATAAATAAATCTAAGCTACATAATTCTAACTTTAAAAAAAAGTTGTCCTGAAAGTGAAGATGGAGCTTATCTGTTAGGGGTGAACCGGGGGTCTTATCAAGTTGTTATTTTAGTGGCGGATGTGCGGAGGAAAATGGAAGGGAAATAGTGGGCAAAAGTATGGAGGGTGTTTTAGAAGTTCTTTTTTTGGTATTTTATGGAAGAAAATGAATAGGATTAAGAAGGAGAAATGGAGGGATATGAAATGGAAGAAATATCACGGATGGATAAAACCAAGTTGGTGTTAGGAGATATTACACACTCTTATCCTAACTTGGGGTTTGAATCTAGAATTCAATTAAGATACTACACACTTAATCAAATATCTAGAACCTAAAACTCACACTTAAGATAACCACTCTTAAGATATAGAATTAGGAATTTGGCTAAAATAGCATCACACTATTTTAATAATACTCAAAGAGTAAATGGTTTTCAATATTCAAAGATGGGTTACAATGGCCATATGGCCTGAGTTATATGGGGAGAGGGGAAGGAGAAAATACACAATACATTGAATGTGAACATGAGGAAGCTTCCTAGAAACATCCACTTCCAAAGTATGGGGTAACACTCATTGAATCTTGTCTCCAAAGTGGGATAAAATTCAGGGATGGGGCTGGGATTGTAGGGGTTTTGAGCTTTGGTTTGTAGTGGTTGGTTCATGGGTTTTAAGGCTATTATTTGGGTAAAAATGAGCGGTTGTGTTTGGCCAATAAAAGGGGACAGGGCTGGGCAATATTAGGGGTGGTTTTGGACATATGGGTTTGGGTTATTTGTGGGGGAACATGGGCAGGGATTAGTGGTTTGTGGTGGGTCAGGATTTTGGTTCTTTTTGGGTGTTGTGTTGGGGTTGTGAAATGTATTTTGTCCAGGGGGTGAATGGAATAAAGGGAGGGTTTTATTTGTTTAATAAAAGGCTTAAAAGAAGGAAAATAACAACAAACAAAAGGTTTTATTTTACACACTCTTATTTTCTGCCAGGGCTAAAATAAGAGTTGGAAAAGCTTTATTTTGAAATGAATTAAATGGCAAGGAGTTTTGGATGTTTAGGGTTGGGTTAGACGGAGTGGGATTTGGTCTGCGGAAACCTTGGGTCTGAAGTTATTCAGGCCTCTCGGGTTGAAGGACGTGGAATTCTCACTAAAACGGATCATAATGTTTGAACGTAAGTCCTTTGGTTTTTGCGAGGGTGTAGGACATGGGAGAGGGTATGATAGGGCCAGTCTCGAGTATAACATTATCTAGGAACACATGGAGTAGTTGCTTTTAGATTTAACATTTTTAGTTTTGAGTTCTACTAAGAGTGCATTGTTGAAGTGCATAGAGTCAATGCCCCAAATTAACATACACTTCCTCCATCCCAAATTAAACTTCTCGTTTGTTTTTTCACAAAGTTTAATAAAAAGTGAATATGTTTGGGGAGACTTATGCAGTGGAGAGAGAATTAGTGTGAACCACCCATTCCATTCCTTCTAAGGAATGGAAAGTTTATTTGGGGACAATTAATATTCAAAAATAGAAAGTGAGAAGTTTAGTTTGGGATGGAGGGAGTATGTCAGACCATTACAAATTAAAAAGATATTAGTTAATGGGGATCTATCGTATTGATAAATTACATGATTAGTCCATTATTGAATGCTATAGAGTATAGAGAGACTGATAAACTCTGTCAATGGTCCACACATACATATTTAAATGATGAATCATTGTGTAGAACTGTAGAGATTCTGAAAAAAAATTGTTGTATTGTTTTTAATTAAACAGACAAGATTTTCACATACTTCAATTGTACTACTTTAAAAAATCTGATCAAGAACTTCAAAATACCGGTAAATCCATTACTTATTTAAGTTTTGATATAAGAATTTACAAACATCATCTACTTTTAATTTGCATTTTAAAAATTCTGTAATTTATTCAGTTGCATGTGATAATGCATTCTATTTGAGAGTTGTGTTATGTTGATTAGATAAAAAGGTCAAATAATGGACAGCTTTCTGCACGTGTATCCCACTTTGATTTGTTATTGTGCCAACTTGATATGTTGTGAAGGATATTGATAGTTTTTTTCCTAAGGCTCCACGATCGTTAATGATTTACTTGATGATGCTCAATGCAGGAGGATTCGGAAATGGAGAAGAATCCTCGAGGATGAACGCAAAAGATCAGAGATGGGACCCTGATCAGAGATTTTAGAGAGAGAAACGAGAGTATGTGGAAGAGAAAGACCAAAAATATCTTCTTATTTCATCTCCTTTATCAATACAAGTATATAAAGGCCCGTTATTAGCTAACTGACTAACCGTTTCTAACCACCACACACACGTGGCCTGTATCATTCCTTCCCCCTTAAAGAGGAGGCCTTTATTCAACTACTCACAACTACAGTGACAATACTCCATCCACAGAAAAACTCAGGAAACCTTTGTTCCATGTCCTTGGAATCCCTCCAAGATGCATCCTCTTCATTCTGCCCTTCCCATTGCACTAGATATTGGACAACAGCTCTTCCACCTTGCTTGATCATTCGTCTTTCTAAGATTGCTGCAGGTTTCAAAATTTCAGCTACATCTCTGCCATGTAACCATCCTGGTATATGCGGTTGTTTTGGCAGTGCTCCCTTGAAGGCTTTGAGTTGGGACACATGGTAAGTGTGGTGTACTTGGGCTGATGGAGGAAGTTGCAGTCTGTACGCCACTGGCCCCACTTTGTTCAATATCTGAAATGGACCATAGAACTTGGGAGCTAATTTTTGGTTAGTCCTTGCTTGCACTGTGGTTTGTCTGTATGGCTGCAGTTTGAGCCATACCCAATCTCCNATCCTGGTATATGCGGTTGTTTTGGCAGTGCTCCCTTGAAGGCTTTGAGTTGGGACACATGGTAAGTGTGGTGTACTTGGGCTGATGGAGGAAGTTGCAGTCTGTACGCCACTGGCCCCACTTTGTTCAATATCTGAAATGGACCATAGAACTTGGGAGCTAATTTTTGGTTAGTCCTTGCTTGCACTGTGGTTTGTCTGTATGGCTGCAGTTTGAGCCATACCCAATCTCCCACTTGAAATTGTCTTTCAGACCTGTGCTTGTCAGCCTGTACTTTCATCCTGTTTTGAGCTCTTAACAGGTGAAATTTCAGCAACTGTATCATAGCTTCCCTCCTCTGTAAAGACCTATTCACAGCTTCTACCTTTGTTTCGCCAGGAAGATATGGGAGATGGATGGGAGGTGGTTGATTATACACTACCTCATAGGGTGTCATCTGGATAGATGAGTGAAAAGAGGTATTGTACCACCACTCAGCCAAAGGTAACCAACAGCTCCATTCCTTTGGGTGCTCACTGCACATACACCTTAAGTAGGTCTCCAGGCACCTATTAACCACCTCGGTTTGTCCATCAGTTTGAGGATGGTATGAGGTGGACAGCAGCAACTCAGTCCCTATCACTCACAATGGTTTGTGGCCACCCATGCAGCTTGAATACATGATCCAAATATACTTGGGCTACCTCTGCAGCTGAAAATGGGTGACTGAGAGCCATGAAATGAGCATATTTACTCAGCCTGTCAACAACAACAAAAATGACTTCTTTATTGCCAGATTTTGGAAGGCCTTCTATGAAGTCCATAGAAATATCCCTCCAAACCTCAGAAGGTACTTGCAAAGGTTGCATTAGGCCAGGGTATGACCCATTATCATATTTGCAACTTTGACAAACCACACACTGCCTGATATGATGTTGTACGTCTCTATTCAAACCCTTCCACCAAAACAGCCCTTTAACCTTCTTCAATGTGGCGTCCCTACCTGAATGTCCTCCAGTAGCTGAATTATGCACCCAATTCAGTATTTGACCTTTTAAATTGGTGTTTGGTCCTATGACCAGCTTTCCTTTCCTTCTTAGTAAGTCTTCTTGCAGATTATATTTATTCGCTGCCTCTCCCTTTTGCAATTTGTTTATTATCTCAATCAAGTTAGGGTCCAACTGATAGCTCTCTTTGATGGTTGTTAATACATCGGATTGTACTCCAGATATAGCCAAGGTTAACACCTCTGACCCCTTGACTCTTGATAAGGCATCCGCAACCACATTCTCAGTGCCACTCCTATAATGTATCTCATATTGAAACCCCATGAGTTTGGATAACCAAAACTGCTGGAAAGGAGTTGAAATCTTCTGCTCCAAAAGCCACTTCAAGCTTTTTTGATCTGTGATGATCACAAAGGGGTTACCACTCAGGTATTGCTCCCATTTTTGTACTGCATGGACCACAGCTAAAAGTTCCTTTTCATATACAGATAGTTGTTGCCACTTAGGTCCCAATGTCTTACTCAGAAACGCCAGAGGGTGTTTGTCCTGCATAAGTACAGCCCCAATAGCAAAAGCAGACGCATCTGTTTCTACTACAAAGGCTTTAGAAAAATCAGGGAGAGCCAAAACTGGGGCAGTAGAAAGGGCTGTCTTCAATTGTTCCAAGGCTCCAGATGCTTCCTCATTCCACTGAAAGTTTCCATTCTTTAGTAGTTGTGTTAAGGGCTTTGATATGAGTGCATAGTTTCTCACAAACTTTCTATAATATCCTGCCAGCCCAAGAAAGCCCCTTAATTCCTTAATGTTAGTAGGTCTAGGCCACTCCTTTATTGCCTTTACCTTCCTAGGGTCAGTGGCCAGCCCTTCTCCTGAAATAAAGTGACCCAAATATTCCACTTTTTCAGTTCCAAATTCACATTTGGATCTTTTGGCTACCAATGTGTTGCTTCTCATGATTTCCAACACTTGTTTCAGGTGTTCAATGTGTGATTCCATAGAGCTGCTGTATACCAATATATCATCAAAGAAGACCAACACGAACTTCCTCAATAGTGGTCTGAACACCTGATTCATGAGACTTTGGAATGTAGCGGGGGCATTGGTAAGGCCAAATGGCATTACCAAGAATTCGTAGTGTCCAGCGTGTGTTTTGAATGCAGTTTTAAAAACATCCTCACTTGCCATTCTGATTTTGTGATACCCTGACCTTAGATCAATTTTACTGAACACCGTAGCACCAGCTAGTTCATCCATGAGCTCCTCTACTAAAGGGATAGGGAACTTGTCTTTAATAGTCTGCTTGTTTAGTTCCCTATAAACCACACATAGTCTCCAAGTTCCATCCTTCTTTCCCACTAAGACTACTGGAAAGGCAAAAGGACTACAGCTAGGCTGAATTATCCCTTTTTCCAGCATTTCATCAATCAACTTTTCAATGATGTCCTTTTGTCTGAGCGCATACCTATAAGGTCTGATGCTTATTGGGGTGGCTCCTTGTTTTAAGGGTATCCTGTGATCATATAACCCCCTGTTTGGTGGCAGACCAGTAGGTTCTTCAAACAAATCCTCATATTGCAACAATAATTCAGAAATTAATGGAGGTATGGTCCTTGTGCTGGAGCTCAGACAGTTCCATTCTCCTCCGTGTCCAGATTGGTTCTTCAGTTCCTCTGCACATCTTACTTGTAACATACATAAGTGGCAAGCCTCTTCCATTTCCTTAGACAATTGTGATTCTTCTAATATTTTTACCTTGGGACCTTGTAACCCTCTCAGTACATGCCCCTTTCCCTGGAATTCGAACTGCATGTGTAGATTCTTGAAGTTCCACTTAATGGTGCCCAAAGTACTCAGCCACTGGATTCCCAACACCATGTCACAACTTCCTAAAGGAATGAGAAACACATCTGCACAAAATTCAGTTCCTTGTAGCTTCCATTTGAAATTTCTGCACTTATATTGACACTTTAGTGTACTTCCATCAGCCACAGTGACTGGTTGCAGTGATATGGGTTCCAGCTTGCACCCCAACCTTTTAGCCAAACCAACATCCAGGAAATTGTGAGTACTGCCAGAATCCACCAGAATTTGAATGGCCTTCTTACCAAAATGTCCAGTAACTCTCATAGTTTGGTAACCTGTGATTCCATTGACTGCGTGAAATGAAATACAAGGTTCTATCTCCAGCAACTCAAAGTCCCTGTCCTCTTCAGAAATATCCTTATCTTCTGTGTCAACTTCCAACTCATCCCCAGGAATTTCTACCAAAAACAGTTGAGTTTTCTTGCTTTGGCACCTGTGACCTTTCTCATAAGGTTGATCACAAAAGTAACACAGCCCCTTTGCGCTTTTTTCTGCCCTTTCAGCAGCTGTCAAGACCTTAGTAGGTCTAAAACTCCTTGCTGTACTACTTGATGAACTAATACTATCAGTTGTGGAGTTTTGAGGATTGCCATGACTCCTATAGTCTGAGAATGCACTACCACCTTTGAAACTAGTATTTCCCCTTGGTGTGGGTAGAAGACCAGTTGTGTTTCGTGTTACTTGCGCCTTAGGAGTGTCTCTAACTGCTTGCACAGATTCTTCCTGTAATCTGGCAAATTGCACAGCATCATCAATGGTTAGAGGTTTTAATGCCTTCACAAATGCCTTCAGGTGTGGCTTCAGGCCTCCCACAAACTATCCACAAAATAATCATCAGGTAAAACTGGAGTTTTCTGCAACATTAATGACTTCAGCTCTTCAAATCTCTCCAAATATTCCTCAATCGTCCCTGTTTGATTCAATTTATTGAATTCTTCCACTAGTTTACTGTCAAGTTCTTCTTTGAACCTTCCACATACATCAATGATAAAGTCATCCCATTCTACTCTTTTTTTGACAGCAATATAACTAGCAAACCACACCTCAGCCTTCCCTGTCAAATGGATTGACGCCACATCCATTTTCTGATTTTCAGGTATCTTACACAGATTGAAATATCGTGTGCATTTCTTTACCCAATTTCTAGGGTTAGAACCATTGAATGAGGGAAATTCAAGTTTAGGCAGAAATTTAAAAGCAGTTCTGTCACCTCCTTCATTACCGATGACCTCTGAAGACGATCTGTTTTCATTGTGGCTTGATTTCTCAAGCAACTCCATCATCTTTTCGAACATATTCTGCTGTTCCGCTCTAATCTCCTCGATCTTCTGATTTTGAGACGCCAATTGTTGCTCGAGTATAATCTTCAGTTGATTGTTCTGGTTGATCTCCATGTTCGATTCTTGCTCAGATCTGGATTGATTCCGTGTTCTGGCCAGGATGAAATCGTGCTTTGATACCACTGATGACGCTCAATGCAGGAGGATTCGGAAATGGAGAAGAATCCTCGAGGATGAACGCAAAAGATCAGAGATGGGACCCTGATCAGAGATTTTAGAGAGAGAAACGAGAGTATGTGGAAGAGAAAGACCAAAAATATCTTCTTATTTCATCTCCTTTATCAATACAAGTATATAAAGGCCCGTTATTAGCTAACTGACTAACCGTTTCTAACCACCACACACACGTGGCCTGTATCATTACTGTAGAGACATGATATGTTGGGAAAGTTATGGATAGGTTTTTGCATGCATGGTCTAATACTAGTTAATGCTCCAACAATCATAAGTGGTGTACTGATGTTACTTTAGCAATTCGGTTTTGTAAGAAAATTGGCCCAAAACTGCATTTTTATGTATCCTAAGAAGTCGAAAACAAAAATTCACAATTGTCATTCAAAGCCCAAACCCTCATTGCCAATTTCTGGGAAGTACAAATGTAGAGCTAGAAATTGGAAAATACTTGTAGTGATTAACATTTATCAAATATCAGATCAACTCTCACTCTTGAATCACAAAGCCACCGTCTTCGGCTGAGTTGACTGAGTTCCCTCATCATGCGCATTCTACAAAGTTTGCTATTTACTCGTCTCCCTACAAATCCAACCAGAAAACTAATTTCAACACCATTGAAGAGCATTGGGCTTTCATTTCCGTTCTCATCCAAGCCTGATAAAGAGCCTGGATTGACTACTAATTTTGGAGATTTGAAGTCCTCTGAAGGAATTGGTTGGGAAAGCGGGTCATCTTGGTCTATTGGCTTAACGAAGGAGCATTTTGATGGGGAGGTTGTGGGGAAACAATTACAGACAAACACTTCACACTCGGGAGCTGCCAGAATGACAGAAGAAGAAATAGCTACACTGAACCGTCTTGAGGAGGATGTTCGCAAGTCAGAGGTGTTTGTGAAGGGGTGGGATGGAAGGATGAGAGACATTGCTACGATGATGATGAAGCAGGTATTTGCTAACCCCACATTTCTTGCTTCTTTTTTGCTAAGTTAATTAGGATACTTTTTCTCTTCTGTATTTTGCAATTCTTTAGGGGTTTATAGCTAGACAAATGTAGGGCTCACTTGGTTTAGATTTTCAGCTGGTTTTGCTTACTCTAATTCTCTGGATTAGCTAGACTCATCTGGTGATGTGTTTGTTTCTCACGTTTTGGCTAGAACGAGTTGGTGTTCAATTCACTAGGATCTGATTTTTAGAATCAATCAACGGCTTGATTCTCTAGAATCAGTAAAGGCAACTAGTTGATTTTGAGAATTAGAATCATTCAATAGAAGAATCAAAATCATATGAGCTTGTAGGTTCTGCTGGAGCAGTATTTGAATTGGGAGCTTTTTTAGAAAAGAAGATATTATATTCATGTCTAGATGCAACTATTTCAAGTAGGTTATGGAACCAGGGGCGAGGGGATCATATTTGAAAGATTCCGAAATGTACAAGGCGAATCCTGAGCTATACACTATTGAGAAGCTGGCCAAAGAGTACAGGATCATGAGGCAGAGGGTGCATGCAATTTTGATGGCACCCTTGAGTCCTTGATTGATAACAACCCAGAGTAAGTTTATGCTCATATGATTGAGAACGATGCGGTTTTAAAATTTATAAAAAATGAAATTACTTTTGATGGTGATGACTAAATATATGGCATACGCAGATTTTACAATTCCCATGATAGAGAATTAATTCCATGTGGCAACCCTGTGTTACAAGCCAGAGGTTCAACTTTAACAAGATGAAGGTTAGCCAAAACCCAAAAGAGACCAACAAAGGTTTTACATATTTAAAATGTCTGATTAATTCTTAAAGTTGTCCTTCCATTTTTTCAGTTTGAGAAGAAAGTGAAGTGCCACAAGCACAGCCGGATGCGGCCAGCACAGGGATGGAACTTCACAGTTGGGGTCCCGCGGGAAGCGCGGAAACGGCGGGGGCTGGAAGTTTGTGAGCATTGCAGACGGGTCCACTCGCCCTCTTGATGATTTTCAGAAGATGTTTGTGAAGAGGGAAACCCCGCGGCCGGCGTCGCCGAAAGATCCTCCCCTGATTCATTCATTCATCACACACACTCTCTTTTTATTGCAGTAATTTTTTGTGCAATGTTTTTTCCTTGTTTTTTTGCAGGAATTTAATTGTCTAATAGATTATTTTTCTTCATTATTTGGATGTAGACTGTAGAGTTTCTGATGCAGTCCTTAGCTATATTCTCTATTTATATTTTTGTTTAAGTATCTATAAATACTGGCTCTGGAATAATAATAAGGGCACTATAAATACTGGCTCTGGCATTGATACCTATTTTGTAAACCATAAAGGGCACTCTTGCTCATTTTTTATTTTTTCTTTATTATTTAGTTTTTTACCTTATTTAACTCTTTGTTTCCTTTTCCTATAAATTTTTTTTAAATATCTTTTCAATTTTTTTTAAATTATGTTTTAAAACAATTAAAATTTTTTGTGTTTGAAATAAAAATAAAAATAAAAAATTGACATATACTCCATCTATCTCAAACTAAACATTTTCACCTTTTGTTTTCTAGAATAATTTTTTTGGTAAGTTCACAAAGAAAATTCAGAATAAAAAAATAAAAATATGGAAAAGCAGAATGAAAAAAATTGAAACATGCATAAAAAAGCCTTATACAAAAAAAGAATTTTTAGTACGCCTAAAAAATTCCTTAGAAATGAGATATCCGAAAAGGATATTCTTTTTTATTTTTTGTTTTATTCTATTCTCATTTTATGAAGTTCTAAGAAAGTTTACTTTTTTATTTCAGAAAAAAATAAAAATTGTTAATTTGAGACTTATTGATGCAGTGTATGTTAATTACTCCGTTTTATTTTTCAACAAAAATAATTTTAAATTTTAAGAAGAATATAAAACAAATTTAAAAAGAAATTTAAAACACCTTGATGAATAAAAAAGAAACAAATAAATGAAAAAAAGGAGAAAAAACAAAAGTAAATGAAAATAAGAAATGGGTACCAATCCCTATTGGTTTGGAAAATAGGCACCAATGCCTCCTTTACCGAAAATTAAAGAGAGGGGTTATGAGTGCGATGTTTTGAAACCACGAAAACTTTAGAAATAAGTTTTAAAAATAGAAAAGTATGGATGTCTATTTTACAAGCGACAGAGGCATTGGTACTATTTGGCCATTGATAAAATGGTATAGAACAGTCATACCATTTTACTCAATTCGCCCCATAATGACAAGTAATTCATATTTTGTTAAAATTTTTTAATGAAGTATTTGGTGATGGAGAAAGAACATATTCCCAAAAATTCGTGTTCACTAGAACTTTTTGTCAAGGTATGAGTCATTTTATTCTAATGTCAAGAGTCTCCGCAGCTTTTAATTTGTTGAGTGTGAAGCCAGGAAGCTAGGTGGAAGCTAACAGGAAATTGGCAGGAAGCTACCGAGAAGCTTACGGCTTAATCATTGTCTCCCTAACTAATCTCTATTTAAGAGATACTAATGTGCTTGTAATTGTGTGCAACAAAAATAATAAAATCCTCCTAGTTGCCCCGTGTGGACGTAGGTTGCAGTTGGCGGCCGAACCACGTTAAATCTTGTGTCATTTATTTTTCTGCAGTTGATTCGTGATTGTGTGTTGTTTCCGCGTGCGTTTATTCCCAACAAGTGGTATCGGAGCGTTGGTTCGTCAACACCGGAAATCCGATGAGCAGAAACTAATCAGAGAGGAGTGTCACCCTGTGCAATAGCAGGAGCCTGTGTTTGGGCCGCTACCGCCGGAGCACCGCCATCCCGACGATCCCCACGGAGCACTGCCGCAGCAGGAAGTAAGTCCCGTGAGACTCACCGCTGCCGCCTTCAATCAAGCAGAACCAGACCGTCGCCGTTGCTGATTCGAGGGGGACCGCAGCAAGCCAAGGAGTCGCTGCCTCCGTACCAGCGCAGGAGCAGCCGCTGAGTCACCGCTGCCGCCGTCGATCTCCCTCCGCCGCTGGTTCAAAGGAAGGTAAGAGGCTTGGACAGGTTGTTCGCTGTCATCCGCGAACCGTCGTAGCCTCCCCTCGTCAAGCCGCCGCCGTCCAGTACAGATCGCCGCCACCGTTTGCCTGACGACCGCCGCACGCAGGAGCAGCGGCAGAAGGAGCCACCGCCGCGTGTAGGAGCTGCCACCACCGTCCTGGTCGCCTTTGCCGTGCAGAGTCCAGAGCCGTGCCACCCTCCTGTCCCCTGCGGAAGTGCGCTGCCAAGGGGAAGAAGGTGAGATGTGACTGCGAAAAAGGACGGAAAGGAAAAGGTGCAAAGAAAAAAAAAGGAGGAAGGAGCCACCCGTGATTAGCAAGGTGGTGCCCAAAGTTTTTTTAATTGGATTTGTTTGGCGTGGAGTTGATTTTGGGGTGGTGTGAGTGGAGTTTGGAGAGAGTGGTGGGCCAGGAGAAATTATTTGGTCTTGGACCATAATTAGTGGGTGATTTTTTTTTGGGGTGGTGTCAATTTTTTTTGTCCTAGATATCTTATCTGATAAAAATATCAAGACTGAAATTAGTTGTACCGGGTATCTCATCTTGTCGTTGGAGATGGCAGAAGAGGGGAAGTTCCGAATTGAAAAGTTCGATGGTACAGATTTCAGTTGGTGGAGAATGCAAATTGAAGATTTGCTAGTTCAGAAAGATTTGGACGTGGTTTTGGGTGACAAGCCAGAAAAGATGTCGGATGCAGATTGGGCAGGTCTAGATCGGAAAGCTATGTCCGTGATCCGTCTCTCGTTGACCAAGAATGTTGCGTTCAACATTCTGAAGGAGAAGACAGCGAAGGGAATTATGGACGCGCTGTCTAACATGTACGAGAAGCCATCTGCAGCGAATAAAGTTTTTCTGATAAGAGAGCTGGTGAACACAAGGATGAAAAATGGCACTTCAGTTACCGAGCATATCAACAAGTTGAATTCGATCTTAGCCAGACTTTTGTCAGTGGGCATTAAGTTCGATGATGAAGTTCAAGCTTTACTACTGTTATCGTCATTGCCTGATACTTGGTCCGGAACTGTTACAGCAGTTACCAGTTCAGCGGGACCTGACGGATTCACTTTTGAGAAGATTCGTGACCTCGTTCTTGGCGAAGATGTCAGAAGAAGGAGTTCTGGTGAGTCTTCGGAAGAATCACTAAATATCGTCAGAGGTAGAGGAAATAACAGAGGTAGTGGGAGCAAGAACAAACGAAGGAGTCGATCGAAGACTCGGGATAGCTCAGGCGTAACATGCTGGAAGTGCAAGGAGGTGGGACATTTCAGGAATCAGTGCCCGAAAGAGGATAAGCAAGTGAACATTGTTAGAGGCTCCGCGAGCGACGAGGATTTGTTTATCTGTTGTGCGGAGAGCAGTGTAGATTCCTGGGTCATGGATTCTGGTGCTTCATTTCATGCTACCCACAGCGGTGAAGCATTGCAGAATCTAGTTGTTGGGGACTTTGGAAAGGTACGACTAGCAGACGACAGAGCTCTTGATGTGACGAGCATGGGTGACATAGTGCTGAAGACCCCTGTCGGTTTCTGGACTTTGAAGGATGTCAGAGTGGTTCCAGCCTTGAAGAAAAGTTTGATTTCTGTTAGGCAGTTGGACGAACAGGGACACGAGGTGAAGTTCGGAAATGGGTAGTGGAAGGTCGTGAAGGGAAATCTTGTCATGGCCCGTGGAAGGAAGAGAGGTTCGTTGTATATGGTCGAGTTACCATCTGAGGGAGTGACTGTCCCAATTCAGAAGAAAAACGAAGTCCGATTCACAGAGTCTTGTGGGCAGAAGAAGGTTTTCTATGCAAGAAAGAAACCCAGAGCCACAGGTCAGACTCAGGATGAACGAGCGAGGAAAGGTTCAATGAGGCCAGTCAGAGGTATCTGTGGCAGTGGGAGCACAGGTTTTGCTTCAGCCAAGGTTCTTATAAGACATTGGGTCTGGAGAACCAGTATTCCAGCTGTTGAAACATCTCCAGAAAATTTCTTGCTCAGTATGGAGATTGTTTGTTCTCAGGATGTTCCAGGATCCGGCAGTGCGTGTGTGCAGTGGGAGCCGGTAGGGACCGAGGATGAGTCAAAGGCAGTTCAAGCCATGACTGATGGGTTGAAACTCAGGAGAGTTTCAACAGAGTCTTCTCGATGATCAAGAAGGCTGGTGGCAACTAGAGGTGGTGGAATTTTGAGTTCCGTTATCAGATTACAGAAGTACATGTGCACAGTTGAAGCGCAGGTGAACATTGTTCCGTGGCTTCANGCTAACAGGAAATTGGCAGGAAGCTACCGAGAAGCTTACGGCTTAATCATTGTCTCCCTAACTAATCTCTATTTAAGAGATACTAATGTGCTTGTAATTGTGTGCAACAAAAATAATAAAATCCTCCTAGTTGCCCCGTGTGGACGTAGGTTGCAGTTGGCGGCCGAACCACGTTAAATCTTGTGTCATTTATTTTTCTGCAGTTGATTCGTGATTGTGTGTTGTTTCCGCGTGCGTTTATTCCCAACACAATTTAGAAAGTGTTTCCTTATAAACAATATTTTTTTTTAAGTGGGTTTTGAGGCTAATCTCTTTTGGCATTTGCCAATTGCCACTGACACGAAAGTTCCCTCGAGAGTAGGAGCACCCACTTAAAGGAGATGCATTTGTCTCATAGGAAAAGGCTAGCAGCATCAATGAAACATTGCAATGCCGACGGATGTGGAATTGATTCTTGTTACACGGTAGGTTGTTTGCCTGCTTCTGCACTCCAACAAACATATTGGTTGGCATGTTATCCATAGCAAACACCAACTATCAAGTCACATTCGAAATAGCACATGTTTCTCCCAAACCGCAGAGTTCTGCATGCGCCTTCCACGACCCTCAACACACCCAAGCTATACTCCAAATATCCAGCACCGTATTGTGTTGATAATCACATTAGAATAAATCTTGAAAAGAGCCAAATGAGACCCCTACCTTCCCTTTCACAGCTATTTTAAACATGTTAGAGTATATAAAAATAATTCCTAGACCACAACTACAAGTTTGAGCTTTTGGTTGAATTGATTCGTTGACATGATATCAGAATATTGTTGGTTAATATGTCACGGGTTCGAAACTCACCGCCACCTAGTCCCTTGATCAATTCGTTCAATGTATGTTGTGTCTCTTTATGTGTATTTATGTAATTTTTGTGCAATGCTTTAAGTAACAAGTCACACACACTTGTTAAAATTTGAAACTTTCACACACTCGCACAAATATTACTTTGGGATATTTTTTGATTTTTTGTTAAGAAATCTCAGGCCCACATTATTTATAATATACCCAGGGTTTTCTCTTTTTTCTTGTATGAGATCCCATATTATGTACTCCGTACAATAAATTATGAAAACAAAAATGCTAGGAGTACATCATTTGGGGTACCCCATTTGTACCCCCTCCATCTCCACCACACAAAGCAAGAGAGAGAAAAAAAATTTAAAATAAAAAAATAAATGAAGGGCTAGGATGCATGGTGTACAAATTGGGGTACCCCAAATGGGGTAGCCCAAATGGGGTACCCCTAGCATTCCTCTTGTGAAAATTGTAGGGTATATTCTGTTTATCGTTATAATTTGTGTGGGTACTCTCGGGTTTTGTGGTGTCAAGTTTTGATTAGTGAAACTAGAAAGAGTTTGACACTATTTGGGACAGACCAATTGAGCAATAGTCCAAAATTCCCAATCCTTCTCCCTAACAAACATTGGCACAAAAACCCCAATCTCTGTCACGAGAGAAAGCAGAAGCAGCAAAAGCATCCAATGGACGATGGAGAAGGAGCTCTAAGCTTCGACTTTGAAGGAGGGCTCGATACTGGCCCCGTTCACCCTACGGCTTCCGTACCCGTAATCCAATCATCGGATCAGAATGCCGCCACTCCCGGCCCAAACCACAGTAACCAGTCATCCCTCGCTCCAGCCCCTTCCGGCGCCGTGCCGGAATTCGGAACGGGAGGAAACCGTCGGAGCTTTCGCCAGACTGTGTGCCGGCACTGGCTGCGATCTCTCTGCATGAAAGGCGAGGCCTGCGGCTTTCTACATCAGTACGACAAGTCCAGGATGCCTATATGCCGCTTCTTCCGGCTTTATGGCGAGTGTCGCGAACAGGACTGTGTTTATAAGCATACAAATGAAGACATCAAGGAGTGCAACATGTGAGATTCGCCTCCTCTCTAAAATAGGTTTAGATTTGCTTTCTGTTCTTTAGAAAAAGGATTATCACCCAGATAATGTGCAATATGTCCATACGTATATGCTGCAGCACTCTTTTATTGGTACTGAAATCATACCCCATTATGATTTGATAGAATTAATATTTTTTTCTTATATACATAGGGTTAAATACATTTTTCTGATGGGTGGTTATGCTTTCAGGTACAAACTGGGGTTTTGTCCGAATGGTCCTGATTGTCGGTATAGGCATGCCAAGCTTCCTGGACCTCCACCTCCTGTAGAGGAAGTGCTTCAGAAGATCCAGCATTTAGTATCCTACAACTTTGGTCACACAAACAGATTCTCTCAAAACAAGAATGCAAATTTTGTACCTCAAGCAGATAAATCTCAGAGTGTGCACGGACCTAATGGTGCTAATCAAGCCATTAGAAATTCAACAATGGAATCCCCTTTTTCTCAACTGCAGCAGAATCAACAAGCTCAACAAGGGCAACAAAGCACTCAGACTCAAACACTTGCCACTGGACAGCATAATCAAGCCAATAGGAGTTCTGTACCCCTACCTCAAGGAACATCTAGGTGTGTTCAGAGTTTCAAGATCTTTAATTAGCTTATACAATCAATAATGTACTTAAATTATGAACCTGGTTCATTTATCTATCGGCTGTAAGTAGTTATTCAAACAATCATAACAACTTAACTCTGGCTCAACATATGTGTTGATTATATGATGTGCAATAACATGATATTCCTTGAAGTGGTAAATTTACTGGAATCTCTATGAATATACCATGGTATATGTATACTTTGAAATGATAAGGCCTTCTTTGCTGGAGTTTTATTTATTTAGGAACCAAAAGATAATCTATCAACTTTGGATTTGAAAGACTATAACAATCATTTTAAGGGCTCTATTATTGAACCTATCAATTTAAATTTTTAAAAATCATTAATTTTGGTTAACTTCTATTTTTAAATTAAACTTACTTGTATGACATGTGAAGAATATTTCTTTGAATGTTTTCTTAAAATAGTTTAAAATAATTATTGCATGATATTCATGACTTTTAGTCTTAGATTGATAGTTAAAATCATTCAGGTAGGTCTTATTTGATAGCTTTCATCTTCAAGTCCTAAGTTAGTAGCTAACTCCCTATCACGTGGGTCCAAAATTTAAAAAACTTCTTAATCTTTGATGCGGTTTTATTGTTGTTTTTGTTTTGGGTTGAGAAAAATATGTCTGTAGTATGATAGTTTCTATATGTTTTTTAATTGTAAAGGTTTATTCTAATTCTGATATCCACCAAAGGAACAGCTAGCTTTCATTGTCCATGCAGATTCTGAAAACACATTTTATGGTTTGAAAATACTCTGTTTTCAATTATTATTTTTTGTTGTGAAATGTTGAAGTTTTGGAACAGTATTTTTATTGAGTGTTTAGTAGATGTTTGTATTTTGGAACAATATTTTGGTGTTAGATGCCCCTTTTGTGCAGAATGGATGAAAATGTAAAAACAAGTTTGATAAATGGCATTTTGGTCCATAAAGAACATAACTCTTAAATCAAGAAGTCAAGTTGCTACAATATGTGGAACTTGATTTTAGCATTTTAAGTGTTTCAAAGCGCTTGCAAAATGCAGTCTGAACATTTAATGCAATAGCATTTTACTTAAATATCATTCTACTTAGCGCTCCCTAAGCGATAAGCTAAACACCCCTTAGTGTTACAGCAAGGTCCTTTCTGTTATTATATATAGTGTATTCGTGATGTTAAACATCATCATATGTCAACACACACTGTATTTTTGTAATTAACCATTTTATCTGATTGTGCATTATTTTATTAATAATTATGTTCTCCTCAAAGGAGTTTCACTCTTTTTTTCTTTTTCCATTTTGTTTGAAATTTAACGGTTGAACCTGGTCTAGTGACCAAGTCCTCATTCATGACTGATATGATGGTTTAAATCTTTGAAAACCATCGCTCTCAAAAGAGGTAATGTTGCATCTATTGTTCTTTCTTCATTCAAAGGCCCCACTTGAGATGGGATCTTTTGCACTTGGTACCATGTTTACTTAAATAGCATTTTAACTAAAGTACTAAACCAAGCAAGTCACTCTAAAGAATTTACCTTAACCCCCCCCCCTCCTCAAAGAAGTAAAGAGTGTGTTTCCAAGAAGACCACCAACAAATAGTGACACATATTGTGAATGAAAAACAACCACAACACACTGCCCTACAAGGAAATCTATAGCTCCAATATAGCGTCTCCATAGAGTTCATGTGTCGAGAAAGGTTTGCCTCAATTTCTTATCCCAGGTCTTGTGCTGCATGGCTTGTCTCTCCTCTTAGTTCCGCAACCCAAAAGCAATCAACCCTCATTGCTACCTATGCGTTTCTATGGCGGACGTGACCAATCCATCACAATGTGCGTTCTCTAACTTTATCAGTAGTAGACACTACCCCTTGTTCAAAACAAAATACCTTGTTTTGTATTATGTCCAACATGGCATATTGGCATGAACATAGAATACAGATCCACCACAACGTCCTTATTTCTGCTGCTCTCAGCTTTTGCTCACAACCCATCTTTGTTGGCCAATGCCCTACGACAAAGCTGGTCGAATGGAAATCTTTTAGAGTCGTCCTTCTAATCTCAACGGACCTTCTTGTCACATGGCACACTTAAGGAATTCCTCCACTTTAAACACTCTACCTAAATATGGTATTTGATGGATTCCTCTATTTGGATGAAAGATTACAAATACTCAACTGTCCCTCTGCTCTATCCTCCAATATTAGCACCTTGCAATCCATGCAACCTATGGTCTTCTATATGCATAGAGAAGTAATCAATTTGTTTGTAATGGCCTTCACTCCAAATGGTGATCATTTCTTAAATAATTTATTTGTTCTTATAAAAAGTTAATCATCAACCACATTATTTTCGTCCCTTTTTTCTATTTTTGATTGTCCCAAATGTTTTCCCTATACCATATTTTGTATGATTTTATGTAGCTCAAATCCATTCATGTTTAACAAATTCAATATCAACAACACAATTTCATTTTCCCTATACTTTTGTACCGCTCTCTCATGTCCCAAAAATAGTGGGATCGAAGGAATAAAAATGAGAGAGACGAATTTATGATGATTTAGTATCATCTCATTCACAAGTGCAACTCAAAGTTGATTTTTATCTTCTTAGACCTATTTTACAGTGGTTAGTGATTAGGATGCCTGGTACTCCCTCGGGCCGGAAATGAAGTTTTCACTTTCATATTTGGGATGTTCCAAAATAAAGTTTACACTTCCTTTGCTATTAAGAAAAAAGAATATGCGGCCTAACACTTCTCTCTTCTAAACAAATTTCAACCATGCACATTTTACTATTCACCACTTTTGTTTGTTGAACTCTGCCAAGCCAAAGTGTTAACTTCTTTTGGGATGGAGGGAGTCCAAAGAAAAATAAAAGGAAGGCTTCTTTTATAACAACCATTTTCTCTCTCTCTCTCTCTCTCTATTTGCTTGAGACATCCTAATGTTTTACTTTCTAGCCCCCTTTCATTTTGATTTTAATCATTCCTACCAAAATGAAATGCACCTTATGTAATATTTTAGTAAACCTATTACTTACTTATCCAGTTATTGCTTGTTTCTTTTTCGACATCACAATGTTAAAATAGGTACTTTATAGTCAAAAGTTGCAATCGTGAGAATCTTGAATTGTCAGTACAACAAGGAGTTTGGGCTACGCAAAGAAGCAATGAGGCGAAACTAAATGAAGCATTTGACTCTGTGGAAAATGTCATTTTGATCTTTTCGGTGAACCGGACTAGACACTTTCAGGTTGTCAGGATTTCACCACCTTGTTTGTGCATCACAAATAATGACACTTACATTTACTATAATTCCAATTTGAAAACATGAATATCAATGATCAATTTGGGCTTTGATTGGGATTGCAAAATTCCTTCCAAGTAATCACACCAATTCATGCTGCACTTTATTAAAATGATAAGAATTTGATGAGCTGCTTGACACAGTTCTTGCATATTTTCTGTAATTAGGGCTGTGCTAAGATGACATCTAGAATTGGCGGTGCTGCAAAAGGAGGGAATTGGAAGCATGAGCATGGAACAGCACATTATGGGCGGAACTTTTCTCTGAAATGGTTAAAGGTGCTTTAGTTTTCAATTGGTCAAATGGAAGCACTGGTTACTGACTTATAGGCATTTTATTTTTTCTTGTTTCTGAATTATTTTCTTGATTATCTACACTATTAAATTTCTTATTTTTGGACCTTTTATTGTTAGTTTTGTTGGTTGGAAACATACCATGCTCACATTCTTCATGAATGAAAATACATACGCTAAGACATGCACTTATATTTTTATGGGCCTTGATTGATAACATCTTTATTTTATGTGTTTGATTTTGAAAAAAACATGATTTCATTTTATTTTCTTTTGTGTTCCGTAGTTTGTGATTGAAGATTGATGAGTGTGGGGTTTGGAGGATGCATGCCTAGCATTTTGTATTAGGGTCAATAGTTGGATAATTTGTCGTAAATGGTGATTAAGGGTGGAGTCGATCATGATAGGTTGTGGGAGGGAATGCGACATGGTGGGTTGGTGGTAGCTGGTGGATAGCAGGGGTGAATGATTTGTGGAGTAACCTGTTGGAGGAAACTTTTCCTTAGTTATGTTTTTGTTTTTCCTTTCTTTTATGTTACTTGAGTTAATATTTATCTGATCAGTCGATCTTGTTGTTAAACTTGTTCTTGCACAGTTTCTCACGAAATTTGTCTTGGACTATATATATGTGTGTGTGTGTGTGTGTTGATTTTTCTTGTTGGGTTACTTTACTTTAAAAGGATATCATTATTTTTTTTCAGTGTGAGCACATTTGGTTTTTTTGTGAGGTCGGATCTCTGCTATTTTGATTGAATTGCCAATTTATAAATGTATCTATCCTATTTGCACCTTACTACTCTATTTCGTGGTTCCTTGTATATCTTGTATGCATTTATACTTACTTTTCAGACTACATAACTCCTGCAAGGATACAACATCAATTTCTTTATGCAGCTATGTGAATTGTCCTTCCAGAAAACCCGTCACTTGAGAAACCCATATAATGAGAACTTACCAGTGAAGGTACAAATTCGAACTATGAATGGTCAACAATTTTCGTGCATGTTATAATATGTACATTTCCACAAGGTATTGAATATGTAGGTATCTTTTGAAGGATGAAAGGGAATGGTAAAATAACAAGTGTTAGTTTGACTAGTTTCGAAAGGGAACCAAACTGATTGTTTTAACATAGTGTGGGGGTGGATACAAAAAGTAAATTGTTGTAACATAGTGTGCGGGTGAAAGCAAAAAGTAAGTAGTGGCTTCAATCGAGGTTTGAAGTGTTCTTCAATAGTTGGGTATACCTTATCTTTCCCTGAACTACAATTGCAGATAGATTCACTAAATCAGCCATTAAGCATTTGTCTAACAATCATTGTGGCATTTTTTATCTGCCAAGAATATCAAAGCATATTATGGTCCTCAATTTATGGTAAAAAAAGCTGTGTGGATCTGTCGAGCTTAATTGTCATTGTCGGTGAATGATACCCCATGCCAACAGGAAAGTAAACGCCTTCAAGAATTTAGCTTTCAAAATAGACAAAATGTATTTCATAGAACTCCCTCCGTCCCATTATTATCTTCGATTTATGGTTTGCAATGTTTGACCAAAATTATTTTCAATTCCATTTCTATAAGTATATATGTAAAATTTTAAAATAAAATTTATAATTTTACATATATTAAAAAACAACATTAAAAGCTCTATAAATAAGTGGTGACATGACATTTATTTTAACATATACAACAACAACAAAGCCTTATCCGTGGTGTCGGCTATATGGATCAAACGGCGTCATTGCACTGTATCATATCTGTTGTGAGATTCACACGAAGGTTTCCCCTTGATCACTTCTTGCCAAGTCTTCTTAGGTTTACCTCTTCCTCTAGCGACATGTTTATTCACCATTTGGTCAACCCTTCTCACAGGATGTTCTATTGGCCTTTTCTCCACATGTCCAAACTACCTAAGATGAGTTTCCACCATCTTTTCTACAATAGGTGTCATTCCAACTTTAGCTCTCATATCTTCATTCCTTGTTCTATCCATACGCGTATGACTACTCATCCAACGAAGCATCTTCATTTCCGACAGTTCGCCACACTAACCTTGTGTTCATGTTCACCTTTTGCTGTATGGAACACTCTGTTCCATACAGTATAATCGCAACTTTTCCTTTAATTTTAAAGGTACTTTTTTGTCACATATAAAACCTAAAGCACTCCGCCATTTTGACCAACTGGCCCGAATCTTTTGGTAAACATCATACTCTGTTACTCCATTGTCTTGAATGACACACCCAAGATATTTAAAGTTATTAGGTAAGTAAAGAAGATAGAGGTCGCCTTCCAACTCATCTCTTGGGTTCTGTCCAAGACTATGAAAGAGAACATGAAGTATGCCTACTATTGGCCCTACAAAAACACAAATATAACTTCCGTTGGTCAAACTCAAAGCTATTAGTCTATTACCATTCGATGATGGACCATTGATTACAACTTTGTTTGTTTAGTTGGGGTGTGGAGAGATAATGGGTGTCAAATCTGTACTTAATGTTATTTTTTGGCTACATTTGAAATAAATCCTTAGGTGTTAAATTTCCAAAGAGGAAAAAACATAAGACTAAAGATGGAAAAATCATTGAGAAAAGGTATAAAATGTACAATGTATAAAATTGAGATTACTTGTCAAGTTGTCAAAAACCACTTGTCTTTGGACCATATTTTTCACGCTTAATGTCTTTGGACCTCACATAAAGCCTTAATTTAACTGTTTATTTTAAAATGTTCTTATGGTTTTTTCTTAAATTTTACTGTATGAAAAAGTGATCTAGATGATCCTTGGTATATCTTCTTTGCCTCACCAATTTAACCTCTGATTTTTATGAACTATTATTTCATTGGACGACTTACTTTGCTTCTTGTTACTGCAGATTAGCAGAGATTGTCAAGAACTAGAGGCCTCTGTTGGGGAGCAGTTGGCTTCCCTATTGTATCTTGAGCCAGACAGTGAACTTATGGTATGAAACTTCTCTTCATTCTGAAAATGATATAGTAGCACATTCTATTTTATAGTCTTTCCTCCATGCAAAATATGTGTGTTCCTTTGCTAAAAATCGAATAACAGTATTCTATTGAACTCATTTATAACATTCAGACCCCACCAGGTCATGTTAAGTTTGGTTTTCTTGCGTTTACAAAAAGTTGGTTTCTCTATTCATTGTTAATATGATGAACCATATTTAGGTCTGAAATAAGTCTGCTTTCGCTGTGGAGAAATATGATGACCAACTAACCAAGCCGTGGCCAACATGAGGGCTACTGAGTGTTAAGTTGTAGCAGATAGTAATATCTAGTGCTTGGTTTTTTGTAACTTAAATATTTCTCATTTTTGCAAAAATGTGTTGCATACCTGGGCTCTAAAATTTATTCTGTTCCTTGTTCATTCCTTTCAGGCAATCTCACTAGCGGCCGAATCAAAACGGGAAGAGGAGAAGGCAAAGGGTATGGACATAGAGAGTGGGAATGAGAATCCAGATATTGTGCCATTTGAAGAGAATGAAGAGGAGGAGGAGGAAGAAGAAAGCGAGGAAGAGGATGAGAGCTTTGGTCAAGCTTTTGGACCAGCGGCCATGGGGAGGGGAAGAGGAAGGGGAATGCCGTGGCCTCCCATGATGCCACCTATAGGACGTGGGGTATGGCCACCCCTCCCCGGGATGAGGGGGTTCCCTCCCACAATGATGGGTGACGGGTTTCCTTATCCCGGACTTACACCTGATGGCTTTCCAATGGACATGTTTGGCATGGGCCAGCGTCCTTTCGGCCCTTACGGTCCGAGATTTGCCGGTGATATGATGTTCCATAACCGTCCTCCCGGTGGCGGATTCGGGCCGATGATGGGCCAGGGAAGGGGCCCATTCTTAGGCCCACCAAGAGGCGGTCACCTGATGGGGATGGGGCCACCATTCGTCCCACAACCCCCATCACACGCCCTTCAAAATGCTTATCGTGGTAGAAGAGATCACAGAGCATCAGAACCCAGTGACAGAAGTGGACTGCTAGATCAAGGTAAGGTTCAAGAGATGGGAAGTTCAGCAGCCATGGGGCCCGACGACAAAGCTAATTATCATCAGCAACAAATTAGCCATAGAAATGATGAGAGTGAAAGTGAGGACGAGGCCCCACGAAGGTCGAGACACGGTGAAGGAAAGAAGAGACGAGGCGGGGGCTTGGAGGGCGATTTGGTCACTCCCATCTGAGTTGGAACTTTGCCTTTTTTTTTACTTTCCTCTTGTCTTTGCTATATAGAAGACACTGAGTGTTAGTTACCACACTGCTATTGTTGGAGGAGGTAAACTGGGAAGGGAAAAGAGGAAGAAAATTCCTTCGGAAACACAGAAATATCTTTTCCATAAGATGAACGAAAGCAACAGCGCAGCTCAAAGAGCATTTTACAATTTTTTGTTGTTGAATTGTGTATACATATGTGGAATTGAGGTTAAGGATAGAGGTTGCCTTCTAACTCATCTCTTCTGCAAACATATATATGATTTGATATAGAATCATAGATGATGTTTGTTTATGTAATGATTTTTTTTTGTTTTTGTTTTGTTACTGTATTTTATATGAATCACATGTCCTATTTTATGAAATTGGTTGATTTTTGTTCAGTACTAGTGCATCTCTGCACGTATTGCATGATCTC